TTTTTTCTAGTAATGCCTACCAAGTTATCAGGATTTTGTTTACAGTTATAATGAAAAACTATTTATAGCTTTTTATTATACTATTATTATGAAGATTGCTTTGCACAATTCGCTTAGGATTTGTATTTAGAACTAACCTAAATCTCCGAAGGTGGCCGAACCTCGCGAGATATTATTGGGATTACGGCCGAAAATAGTTAAAAGAGAGGATACCCGGATGAGGAAACAATGCATCCTAATCTTTATAAGCAAGAACGTAAAATGAGTGTATTTAGTCAACTATACTGATAGCCAGGTTGATTTTTTAGCTTCGTTTTAAGTGCATAGCTTACTCTTATCAGAAGTTATTATCTCTTTTTACATTGTCCTGTATTTTACATACTTTTATGAAAATCTAAAAAAGTGCATACAGGAGTTCAGATTGGTAGGACCACTTCCAAAATAAAGGTTCTCATAGGGAGACCCGGAAACAACATAGGTAATGAGCATGTTCGATAGAACACCGATTTCTTGAAATGAGCAAGTTTTGGAAATAAATTATAACACATAAAATGCAGACTATCAGACATTTTTAATACTGTTCAAAGAGTACAATCAAAACTTGAAATAATAGAAAAATAGTAAGAATTGAGAATTCTTTTAAACCAATATCCTAAATAGACTATCAGAATCGTATATTATTTTGTCCTGCCATCTATTGATAGCTTTTGTTACTATCTGTAAACTTTCTGAATTCATAGAACCAATGAAACATAATTACAAAATTATAGTACCATAAGTCGCCCTTCAATACTGATTATTTAAAATTAACTTATTACAGTTTTTTTATCTGTCACAAACACTAACCGTCACCGCACCAACACCAGCTTACACCCAAGTTATGGGATATCCCTTGCATCTAGTGAAATTTTTCCGACACCTTAAAATAAGATGTTCATGAATATAGCCCTTCACCGCTAAAGGTTTAACAAATATTGTGTGCAAAGGTTTTGACCTATCGTGGCAATCAAAGCCTTATTAATCGAAATGT